GTCTATGAGTGTGTGTACTCAGCAATCTGTGAGTGTTTGTACTCAGCAGTGTGTGTGTGTACTCAGCAGTGTATGTATTCAGCAAACTGTGTGTGTGTATTCAGCAGTGTATGTATTTAGCAGTTTATGTGCATTCAGCAGTCTGTCTGTATGTGTATTCAGCAATCTGTCTGTATGTGTATTTAGCGGACTGTGTGTGTGTGTGTTTATTTAGCGGACGGTGTGTGTATGTATTTAGCGGACGGTGTGTGTATGTATTTAGCAGCTGGTGTGTGAATGTGTTCAGCAGTCTGTGTATGTATTGCATTTGTTAGAGATACTAATAAATATAAGCTTAATTTTATCTATTTATATCATAATTTAAAATTTGTATCATTGAACTCTCTGTTGTGTTCTTTTAAAACAAAATTTGTTAATTAGTTCGGACAACTGTACGAATAGTTTTTTTCTAAACTTAAATCTCAGTATTCAGGTTTAATTGCCATGTTGGCACTTTGAGGAAAAAAAGTTGACATGTATTGCGGTTTCGTTCGCCATCACTGCCCTACAGTAAGGAAACAGATAGTGCAACAAATACCAATACCATTGATTGATTATGGGGATGTAGTGTATGCACCCACACCGCAAACCCACTTTAATAAACTTAATATGTTATATAATTCGTTCTGCTGCTTTTTACTAGAATGTAATTACTTTACCCACCCCTGTGACATGCTAAAATTGCTAAACTGGCTATCGCTGGAATCCCCACGAACCCTTCATCTTTCCAGCCTTGTGTGTAAGAGCATTTCTGGGAAGCACCCACCCTACCTGCTCTCCTCGGCTGCTATAACCTCTGATCCAGTACCAGCATGATATTTAGCATACCGCAATACCAAAATAAAGTGTCCTACACAGCACCGCAATTATGGAATAACCTCAGGGACACAGTCAAATCTTCATTCAATCTAAAATCGTTTAAGAGATCTATGGCAATATACCTCAACACAGAATGCACCTGTCATGGGTGAATATATTTATCACCTGTTATGTATTACATTTATATATGTGTTTGTGTATTGTATTTTTGTAATATTGTTCCCTAATGTAACAATGCAATGTTTTGTGGACCCAGGACATATTTGAAAACTAGAGAAATCTCAATGTATCCTTCCTGGTAAAATATTTTTTAAATAAATAAATTATGCCCTTTTAACAATCAGTAAATATAGTAAAGTGTTCAGCATTTTACGTTCAGTGGTCATTAACCCATTACATTCTAGTGAATGGTGACAGATAAAGTAGCATTTTATATCCTCTAATTCCGTATCCTCGGCAATCAGGGCCTCTTTTAGTTTAATTATCACTGTTCATATGTTGTTTACCCCCATTCATCCTACGTGGCCCATGTGGACTTTATAAATACCACGTGGCATGGTTAACAGCAATTTCTTATCGTATTAAACGGCGAATCCTTTGGGACAGGATAGAGCTTTTTACAATAGAAGATTTCAGCTGAGATCCACAGAGATTGCACAAACTTTGCAATAAATTTTATTCAATGATGCCTATTTAACAGCAAGCTTCCCCTTTCCCATTCCCTCCTTGGGCTGTCACCACTGCGTATTCTATGAAACAATATTACAAATAATTCCACTTGGCATTTACAGAAGTATACGCAAACTCAAAATAGTGTTGGGTGCACTTTGGATGCATAATGTAGACATGTCTTTCACCAGCAAGGAGCGCTATAACCTGGGTACGGACCTGCTGCGTTACGGCTCTGCAGTCAATACTGTGACCTTACAGATGTTCCTCTCTGTATTACGTTTTACAATGTATTTACAGCAAAAATCTCCTTGAGGTTGTGAGTATGTGATCCCCTTGTTAATTCTTCACAAGTGAGATCAGAGAGTAGATAGGATGAGATAGAAATCATTGTTATTAGAACTTAGTTTGTATTAAGACCTTACCATGAGCCTCCAGTATAGACATGACCATAGCATCATGTTGTTCTGCTAACCATTTAGGTTGCCGTCCCCAGTGAGCTTTAAAAAAAATGAAGATTTATTTACCTTTTAGCCCTCGGCGCGGCATGCTTCAGTAGATTTCTACGGGGAGCGTTCGATGTCTTCATGCAGAGCATGCCTGTGACAGACCCTCCGTCAATCGATGCTCCTAGTGCTTACCAAGGACCATCAGCACCGCACCAGACACCATAAGCACTGCATATCCCACGAACCGCCGCAGCTTGGCTGGGAACTCAACGTCCTCTACCCACCCTGGACCTACGACAAGGCTCCAGGCATAGGCGTGCGCAGCCTATTGCATTAGGGTGTGCACCCTAAAGCACAAACACACGCCGCATATATATATATATATATATGTATATATATATGTATATATATATACACATACATATACTGCTGTTTGTGTGTGTGTGTTGTTAGTGCGCTGTGTGAGGGTGCTGTGTGTGTGTGTGTGTGTGTGCGTGTGAGGGTGCTGTTAGTGTGATGTGTGTGAGGGTGCTGGTAGTGTGCCATGTGGGTGCTGGCAGTGTGCTGTGTGTGAGGGTGCGGTTTGTGTGTGAGGGTGCTGTGTGTGAGGGTGCTGGTAGTGTGATGTGTGTGAGGGTGTTTGTGTATGTGTGTTAGGGTCCTGTTAGTGTGCTGTGTGTGTGAGGGTGTTGTTTGTGTGATGTGTGTGTGTGAGGGTGCTGTTTGTGTCATGTATTTGTGAGGGTGCTGTTAGTGTGCTGTGTGTGAGTGTGCTGTTTGTGTGAGGGTGCTGTTAGTGTGCTGTGTGTGAGGGTGTTGTGTGTTTATAAGATGCTGTGTGTGTGTGTTTGTGAGAATGCTGTTAGTGTACTGTGTGTGTGACCGTGCTGTGTGTGTGAGGATGCTCTGTGTGTGAGGGTGCTGTATGTTTGCTGTGTGTGTGGGTGCTGTATGTGTGTGGGTGCTGTTTGTGTGATGTGTGTGTGAGAGTGCTGTGTGTGCGCGCTGTTTGTGTTAGGGTCCTGTATGTGTGTAGGTGTTGTGTGTGTGTGGGTGCTGTATGTTTGGAGGGATTGAGAAGGTGGGGGCAGATTAGTAAATAACCCCCCTCCCTTCTTACCTTATGTAGGGAGGGGGGATCCTTCCATGTGCCATCCCTGGTGGTCCAAGGGAGAGTGAACTCTAGCCTGTGGGGCTAGAGTCCACTCTCTCGCGAGATCTGAGCATTGCCGCGGCAAAGCTCAGACCTCGCGAGTGGAACGTGGTGGAGCTTCTGTCTTGAGCTCCCCGGGTCCTCTCCTGCCTCCCTCCATGCTGCTGTGGGCTGGTGAGGTAGATCCGTGGGCCCATGGAGGCTTAGAGCAGAGCCGGCACTCAGATAGCGCCAGCTCTGCATGAGCAGACAGGGGAGATCCGGAGATCTCCCTTGCCGGCAGGGGTCAAGTCCTGGGGAATAAAGTGTGGGAACTCTGCCAAGATTCCCACCCCCCCAAAAAAATAATATACACTTATGTAAAAATTGTCCACCCAGCCTCCCTACCTGGAGAGCTGGTGTGAACTTGTCCCTGGGGTCCAGTGGGTCGGGCGCCTATTTCCATATCACAAGCGGCGATGTAGCTGTGTCTTCTCTGCGTGAGGGAGCAGAGAGGACACAGCTCCCTCGCCACTTGTGATATGGAGATAGGCGCCCGACCAGGGGGGTGTCCATCCCAGAACACCCGGCACACCCCGTGCACATGCCTATGGCTCCAGGTTCCAGTGGGTGAACCTCTCCTCCAAGAGAGAGTAGCAGGAACAACTTATATAGTTTATAGCCCAGGGGAGTATACAGAGTATAGTAATCCCCCAGTGTAGAGGCAGCCTTTTCCCCCACACATGAGAAAAGGCTCTATGTTGAGGGTAAAACAGGAACTCCGCAGATATGAGGGTTTATTGAACAGCTTGGTCTTTTACACAGTTTTCCCAACAAGGTTACCACCCAGGTGGACCTTGTGGGGCACAAGGACACAGGAACAACAAGCCAATAAAAACATAGTTTTACATTCAGTCACTCCCAGATAACGTACGCCTGTGATACAATTAACGAAGACAATGGACTTACTCAATTAACTCTAAGCAAAAAAAACATACATTTTTACAAACCCCAAAAAACTACGCCAAAATACAACATATCCCCATATCCCCGGATAGCCCCGATCTGGGTGAACAACATATCCCAAAATCACCCAGATTGGTTCAGGAGTTTCCTGGAAGTCTTATTTTTGCCCCACCGTGCACATGGTCCCATGCCCAAAACAGTTCCATACACTCGACGGCAAAACACTCCTGGACAATTTAAGATCGACGCCGCCACATGTTTGAAAGGGGCATTGTACTAAGTCCCAATACGCACAAATAGAGTTTTTAAAAGGCAATACACCCCAGGGGCCATAGTCACAGGGCAAAAGGCTGGCAAGCAGGCCTCTCCAAAACCAGTGGCGACGTTACTTTCGCCACAGTGCCATCTTTGCAGGACCGGATCCAGGAAGTCTGTCTGGCGGCTGTGAGAGTGACTGACTAATTGTCCTAAATGTCTACTAATAGCCAGAAGACTGGATTTAATCAGCAGTGTAAACATTGCCATTTTTAAGAAAAGGCAGCATTTACACGGATGACCCTGCAGAGACAAACTATGTTTCCCAGAACCAGTTTTACATTAAGCTGTAGTGGCTCTGGTGAGTGTAGGGTTATACTCTAAATACGTACAATGTTATTTGGAGTGAGCCGGCTGCTCAGGCGGTGTGGGAATTTCCATTTTGTTATGTATAATAAAGTTTTAGTAATTAACACTACAATCCAGTTGACTCCTGGCACAGTCAAGGCACACATTTGTTAGGAGGCGGAGACACAGAAGCATTCGGGTAGACCAAAATGGTTACATCCACTATTCTGCAATTTTTGGGGCAATTTGTTAAACCTGTCAGGTTTGTTCACCTGTTGCTCCTTTTGAGCCTTAACCAAATATATGAATATATGCCATTTTTACATGTATGTACGTAGTGGGGAATTGTGATGCGGTATAATACATAAACCAGCCCAAATCCCCCCCTTCCAAAATAAAGACAGAAAACGTAGTATGGATGAAACAGGCCACAGCATTTATTATACCATACAACAAATACTGTATGACACCTCCATAATTTATTTAATAACTTTCTCTTCATTTCTGTAACCAAAACATTAAACATGAATAACCATAAATTAACATATAACTTAACACATAGTGTCATACAGCAAACCCAATCGTCCTTGCCAATAAACTGACCATGCGCCTATGTGCGACTTCCTCTCACCTCCCCCCTCGTCATAAAAATAATTTCCTTCCAATGCCCGCCATCAGCCGACCTTATCCACGCTCGATGGGCACGACACCTCAGGCAACCTAATGTTAACCGTATGAAGCAGGGGAGGTTGAGACCTTAAAAACTTGTTCATCTCATTCCATATACTTAAACGTAACCCCTCAAACTCAATTGGCAAGGACATACCCCCAGCTAGCTGTGACTAAATATACCAATAGGGCGGGCGGGAGGGAAGCTGTTTGCTGGCCCGAATCCCAAGTGGCACTGAGGTAAGACCTCCCCCACACTAACTTACACATAACATAATCCCACCCACACACTCTTTCCCAACCAATCCCATGCATCTATCCCCACACTCCTACATGTGCCCTTGTCCGCTTAGCTGCGCTATCTCCCCAGGGCCTCAACTGTTGTTTTATTTCTACTTTTGGCATACTAAACCTACAAACTAAAACTACAATTTTTGCAAAAAGTTGCTGAATTTACTGTGAAGAAAACCGTCACCTTTTAGAACTTTAATAAATATAATCAAAATAATGATGGATAATAGTGCTCTCTATTCAGAACACATTGATAAATACTACCTTTCTTTGTCCCCTACATGGCCACATCCAAGATATGCAGACTGACACACACACACACACATACAAACGCTGACTCAAGTAGACACACACACACACTGACTCAAGTAGACACACATACACACACTGATCCATGCAGACACACACATACACTGACATATACACACACACTGACCCATGCAGACACACACATACACTCACAGACACACACACTGACCCATACAGACATACACATGCACTGACCCATACAGACATACACACACACACACTGACCCATGCAGACACACACATACACTGACATACACACACACACACACTGACCCATGCAGACACACACATACACTCACAGACACACACACTGACCCATACAGACATACACATGCACTGACCCATACAGACATACACACACACACACTGACCCATGCAGACACACACATACACTGACATACACACACACACACACACTGACCCATGCAGACACACACATACACTCACAGACACACACACACTGACCTATGCAAACACATACACTGACCCATACAGACACACACACTGACCCATGCAGACACACATATACACAAACACACTGGCCCATGCAGACACACACATACACTCACAGATACACACACACTGATCCATGAAAACACATACACTGACCCATACATACACACACACACTGACCCATGCAGACACACACATACACTGATCCATACAGACACACACTGACCCATGCAGACACACACATACACTCACAGATACACACACACTGATCCATGCAAACACATACACTGACCCATACATACACACACACACTGACCCATGCAGACACACACATACACATAACTAATAGATGATAAAATATATAACTAATTTATTTGATACAATTACTGTTTTTAAGTTTTGGGTTTAATGTTTTATTACTCAACAAACAACATCTATAATTGTCTTTTATTTTCAGTATCGTAGCATATAGTAACCTTTCCCACAGTCCTACACATTAAAAGAAGAGGTGCAAACATTACAGCCAAAGGCGGTGTTTAAAGGTATACTCCACTGCTCAAATAAAAAAATATAAAAATCCTAATGAAAACATGCTGGCATTTAATCATACATTTTTCCACTGGAGGTATATCTAAAAAGCTTGCAAAAGCTGTAGCTCTCTTGTCTGCACCCTTTGAACGCCCTCCCCTTCTAACCCCGCCCAGACTTTCCGTGGCTGTCCAATTACAAGTTTCCCAATGCAGCTCAATGAGTAGTCTTTGTAAGGCAGGCACTCTGGGTAATTGCTGCCAACTGAATTTTGCTTCACTGAGCTAAACAACCAGGAAGTAACAGAACCGGTTGGCTGATTGACAGCCAGGGGGTGTAACCAGGATCATTTATAAAAGTAGCAATTTCTATTGAAATCTGCTCTTTTTGTAAAATGAAAAAGACGACACACTCTTCACATTTCAGCAAGGTAAATAGCTTTAGAGGTCTGGAGTGTCCCTTGAAATTGTAAAGGAATGGGGTGGACTGACAAACAGTTTATGCAGTATATTAGAGACTGGAAATGCTGAAATAAGAGGGGAGATGTAGTTATACTTAAACAGGTAAGAATTTTTCTGCAAACATCACAAAGGTGAGAAAAATAAATCACAAACGTTGCTGTGAGAGGGAGCTAGATTGATTAGCGTGATCAAGAAAGTCATACCTAGTGGATAGACCTATGGAATGGTAAAATTAGATTAAATATTTTTTGGTGTCTGTTTCATTTTACCTGTGCCTGACCAATGACCCACTATACACTGCACCATGAAAATGTGGAACAGTAACTTAAGAACTTTCGTTGAAATTCAGTGAAATGAAAATTTTCAGTGTGACTATTTTGGTCTAAAATAAAAATTTCCTGGTAAGTTCTCCGAAGTCCCACAATGAATAAACCTCAATGGGTTCGATAATTACATTTATTTTCAAGCAATGAGAAAATAGTTTATATGATTTTTCCTTAGGCTTGCCACACCCCATTCAGAAAAATAATATAATTTATCACATAATAAAACTCAAAAGTTGTGGGATCTGAGTGCTTTTCAGCTATTTTGGGGCGCTCAGACCCAGGCTATCTGAGGATATAAGACGTGAGGGGGAACCTTGTGGGGAAATGTATAATTTGGGGTGATTACTATTGTACATGTCCTGGACCTGAGAGTTCATGTATTTATGTTGTGTACTTTGCTTCAATCTACTCTCTGGTCCAGTGGGGAATGCCCCTGGAATGTGTATTTTGAAACCCCTTGCATGGGGATTCTCATAAAAGGCCAGCTGTGGCTCCATTAAAACCAGTTATACCCCCAGAGCTGAGTGTTGTCCAGTTACTTGGGAGGTGGTGGGATATTCTTGGATTACTTTGCTGTATTTGGCTGTTCCCTTGGAGTATTCTACTTGTTCCTGAGCACATCTTGGAGTAACCAGCGGAGGAGAGTCCCTGCTAGGCCTAACACTCCGCTACAACTTTGTCCACATCCAGCCTCTGTTTAATCCAAAAATGGTGGCTCTGACTTTCAAAAGAAGTTCCTGCCTTTTCCTTTCTTTGTTGGTCAGATACCACTGCAGTCCACATTCCAAACTTCACTTCCATAATTTTACGATGGATGATATAAGCTTCCCGGGATCTTTCCGAATGGTTTCCAGAACGGCTTTCTCAGCAGTCCGTCCGATATCTTTCAATGAATCGGAACTGTCGAGCTTTGCCTTGTCAACGCTGGACAATATTTTATCTTTAGAAAGTGTCTCCACTATCTTCTTATATTCTCCAGAATCTTTAATGGTTTTTGTGAGGTTTTTAAGCGGGTCTTCTGTGTGAAGAAAACAACAAGCAATTAGAGTTTAGAAACATGTGCGGATCAAAGAGCTAGTGGTAGGACAATAGGGGTATAGGACTATAGCAGTTAACCATGACCTTGTTTAGTAATATAATGTTCCTCTCACGCAGTGCATTCTGGGTAATATTCTCTGGTCAGATTTATGTTAGATTGCTGGGTTTAGTTCAAGCCAGGGGAGAATAGTCTGAGCAGTGCTACGGGGCCCTAGAGACCATTGTCCCAACACCATGGAAAAGATATCAGGCCAGACTAATCATTGTGGGACAACTCATACGCAATGAGTGTGAAGAGTGACAAAATATCTGATTTTAGAATTTACCTGAATTTTCAGTATCTTCTGTGGGGGTATCAGCATCTATCTCTGTAGTAGTTAAAGCAACGTCTTGCTTTTCAAATGTCAGTTGTTCAGCCTGAGGAGGGAATGATATGGACATGATCTTAGCTACCTAGACCTCATAATCATATCACAATGTGACTGCTGTCTGTAGAATACTCAGGGAACACAGCAGCTCACACTGGAGGGGGCAATTAACCAAACCCCCCCAATATCTTTTACACTAAAAGAATACGGACATTACAATGTAACTGCTGTCTGTAGAATACTCAGGGAACACAGCAGCTCACACTGGAGTGGGCAATTAACCAAAAACCCCCCAATATCTTTTACACTAAAGGGATACGGACATTACAATGTAACTGCTGTCTGTAGAATACTCAGGGAACACAACAGCTCACACTGGAGGGGGCAATTAACCAAAACACCCCCAATATCTTTTACACTAAAGGAATACGGACATTACAATGTAACTGCTGTCTGTAGAATACTCAGGGAACACAGCAGTTCACACTGTGGGGGGCGGGGGGGGCAATTAACCAAACCCCCCAATATCTTTTACACTAAAGGGATACGGACATTACAATGTAACTGCTGTCTGTAGAATACTCAGGGTACACAGCAGCTCACACTGGAGGGGGCAATTAACCAAACCCCCCCAATATCTTTTACACTAAAGGGATACGGACATTACAATGTAACTGCTGTCTGTAGAATACTCAGGTAACACAGCAGCTCACACTGCAGGGGGCAATTAACCAAAACTCCCCAATATCTTTTACACTAAAGGGATACGGACATTACAATGTAACTGCTGTGTGTAGAATACTCAGGGAACTCAGCGGCTCACACTGGAGGGGGGCATTAACCAAACCCCCCAATATATTTTATTCTAAAGGGATACGGACATTACAATGTAACTGATGTCTGTAGAATACTCAGGGAAAACAGCAGCTCACACTGGAGGGGGCAATTAACCAAAATCCCAATATCTTTTACACTAAAGGGATACGGACATTACAATGTAACTGCTGTCTGTAGAATACTCAGGGAACAAAGCAGCTCACACTGGAGGGGGCAATTAACCAAAACCCCCCCAATATCTTTTACACTAAAGGGATACAGACATTACAATGTAACTGCTGTCTGTAGAATACTCAGGGAACCCAGCAGCTCACACTGCAGGGGGCAATTAACCAACCCCCCCAATATCTTTTACACTAAAGGGATACGGACATTACAATGTAACTACTGTCTGTAGAATACTCAGGGAACACAGCAGCTCACACTGGAGGGGGCAATTAACCAAACCCCAATATCTTTTACACTAAAAGAATACGGACATTACAATGTAACTACTGTCTGTAGAATACTCAGGGAACACAGCAGCTCACACTGGAGGGGGCAATTAACCAAAACCCCCCCAA